GGAGTTCAACATCCTTAGTGTGGTGGGGAGGCCGCACAGCAAACTGACTGCCCCGGACTTTAGGAGAGCAGACTTTGGCCTCTTCAGCCTCTTCAGGGATCTGCTTGGTAGAGTGCCATGGTGTTGCAGTTTTGTGTGGTGGATTTTTTCGGTAGTCAGGAAGGAGCTACAGTGGTGGCTCCCATAAATAACTGCTGGAAGTTCCCCCAGCTCCACGTCTGTTCTGGTAGTGGGGGAGAGGACTACAGAGATGGCCCCTGTCAGAAACCACTGGATTTCCCCACCTCCAAACCAGACCCACGCTCAGGCCAAGACCAAGCCAGCCAGCGCCTCTGCAAGTAGCGTATTTAAGAGGAGGCACAGCCCCGGGAGCGGGGGCATGTCCTTGGGCAAGGCATGGCCCCGGGCAGGGCCCAGCGCAGCCAGTGCATCCATCCAGCTGCCTTGTGCCTGCCCAGCCTCCACCATGGCCCAGCCAACCCAGCATCACTCCAGCCCAACAGCCGGGAGCTTCTCAGGAGCCAGTGAAAGAACCTGCCGCAGAGAGAGGAGCAGGATGGAAGAGAGACAGCTACGCAGACATTAAGGTCAGTGAAGAGAAAGGAGAGGGAGTAGGTGCCAGAGCAGAGATTCCACTGCAGCCCATGGTGAAGAGCATGGTAATGCATGTTTGTCCCTGTGCAATACATGGAATCTGAGCAGAGCTTGCCTAAAGCTCATGGAGATTCAACAGTGGAGCAGATACCACTCTGTAGCCTGTGGAAGACCCCATGCAGGAAGAAATGGCTGTGCCCAAAGGAGGCTGTGAATATGTGGAAGGGACCCACACCAGAGCAGTTAGTGGAGAACTGCAGCCCATGGGAAGGACTCACATTGGAGAAGTTCATGGGTGACTGCTGTCTCCCATTACAGGGACCCCATGCCTGAGCAGGGAACACTGTGAGGAGCCCTCCCCTGAAGAGGAAGGAGCATCAGAAACAACACGTGATGGACTGACCACAACCCCCATTCCTTTCAAAGGTGCCTTTTTAAGATGTAGCTCTCTTTCTCATTATCTTACTCTTGTTTTGATTGTTAACAAATCAAATTATTTTTGTGTTTTTCCCAAGTTGAGTCTGTTTCTTGCCCATGAACATAAGTGCTGAGTGAACTCTCCCTGTCCTTGCCTGAACCCATGAGGTTTTTATGTTTTGTTCTTCTAACTCTCCTCCCCATCCCACTGTAGGGGAGGAGAAAGTGAGAGGCTGTGTGGTGCTCAGTTGCCAGGTGGCCTTAAAAACATGACACATGGGATAAAGCCTGGGAAGGAAGAGGGGCCCAAGAAAGCTGATTCTAGGATCACCTCCTCCAAGCTCCGGAGTGAAGCACCCCAACAAAGATGAAGTCAGGCAAAAACACCAGGAGGCCTGCATGGATGAACAAGGACTCTTGGAGAAACTCAAAAAGGAAGCCTACAGAGGGTAGAAGCAAGGACCAGTTGCCTGGGTGGAATACAGAGAAATTGACCAAGCAGCTAGGAATCAGGTTAGGAAAGCTAAAGCCCTGATAGAATTAAATCTGTCCAGGGACATCAAGGGCAACAAGAACTTCTATAAGTACATCAGTGACAAAAGTCAGTCTTTGCTGGCAAGTGCTCCAGCCACACCACCCAAGTTGCAGAAGGCAAAGGCAGGGACTGGAAGAACAAAGAACTGCCCAGTGTAGGAGATCAGGTTTGAGACCATGTAAGCAACCTGAAGATGCACAAGTCCGTGGGACCTGATGAGATGCATCCATAGGTCCTAAGGAAACTGTCAGATGTAGTTGCTAAGCCACTATCTATTATATTTGAGAAGTCATGTCAATCTGGTGAAGTTTGCGCTGACTGGAAAAGGGGAAACATAACCCCCATTTTCAAAAAGGGAAATAAGGAAGACCCGGGGAACTACAGGCCCGTCAGTCTCACTTCTCTGCCCAGCTAGTAACTGGAGCAGATCCTCCTACAAACTATGCTGAGGCACATGAAAAATAAGGAGGCAATTGGTGACAGCCAACAGGGCTTCACTAAGGGCAAATCATGCCTGACAAATCTGGTGGCCCTCTACGATGGCATCACAGTGTTGATTGATAAGGGAAAAGCACCTGACATCATCTACCTGGATTTGTGCAAAGCCTTTGACACTGTCCCACATGACAACCTTGTCTTTAAATTGGAGAGACATGGATTTGACGGAAGGACCACTTGGTGGATAAGAACTGGCTAGATGGTCACACTCTAAGAGCTACAGTCAGTGGCTCGATATTCAAGTGGAGACCGGTGATGAGTGGCGTTCCGCAGGGGTCAGTATTGGGACCCGTGTTGTTTAATATCTTTGTCACAAACATAGACAGTGTGATTGAGTGCACCCTCAGGAAGTTTGCTGATGACACCAAGCTGTGTGGTGTGGTGGACATGCTGGAGCCTTGGCAGGCTTAAGAGGTGGGCCTGTGCAAGTCTCATGAAGCTCAACAAGGCCAAGTGCAAGGTCCTGTACATGGATCAGGGCAATCCCAAGCACAAATACAGGCTGGGTGGAGAATGGATTGAGAGCAGCTCTGAGAAGAAGGACTTAGGGGTGTTGGTTGATGAGAAGCTCAACATGACCCAGCAATGTGCGCCTGCAGCTCAGAGGGCCAACCATATCCTGGGCTGTATCAAAAGAACTGTGATCAGCAGGCTGAAGGAAGTGATTCTCCCCCTCTACTCTGCTCTCATGAGACCCCACCTGGAGTACTGCATTCAGCTCCAGAGTCCTCAGCACAGGAAAGATGTGGACCTGTTGAAGCAGGTCCAGAGGAGGACCATGAAGGTGCTCAGAGGGCTGGAGCCCCTCCCATACAAGCACAGACTGAGAGAGTTGGGGTTGTTCAGCCTGAAGAAGAGAAGGCTCCAGGAGACCTCAGAGCAGCCTTCCAGTACTTCAAGGGGGCCTACAGGAGAGATGGGGAGGCACTCTTTATCAGGAAGTACAGACACAGGATGAGGGGTAACTGCTTTAAGCTGAAAGAGTGTAGATTTAGATGAGATATTAGGAAGAATTTTTTTTACTTTGCAGGTGATGAGGCACTGGAACAGGTCTCCCAGAGAAGTTGTGGATGCCCCAACCCTGGAGGTGTTCAAGGCCAGGCTGGATGAGGCTTTGACCAACCTGATCTAGTGGGAAGGTGTCCCTGCCCTTGGCAGGGCAGTTGGAACTAGATTATCCTTAGGTCCCTTCTAACCCAAACCACTCTATGATTCTGTGATAACTTTTTACTGGAAAGAAGGTAAATGGGTTGAGTGAAAGATAGCATACCGATTCAGAATTAGTTTAATGAAAGAATAAATTCACATTTTGGCCACTCCTTTCTCCCTGCTTCTGAAGAAAGAAAAAAAAACCCACAGAAAAACTCTACTGATTGCCACCTAGAATTCAGCAGCAGAAGCCATCAAACAAGCAAACAATATCCTTAGAAATTATGCCAGCTCTCTACATGATCTCAGTTCCAATATTAAAGAGGATTGAGAAGCCCGTATGTTACCAGCAGACAGCTGAAAGAGGAGGTTGGGGAAATATGAATACTAGCAATTTATGAGGCAAATAACTGAGGTTGCCACCAGAGTTGTATTGCAGGGGATATTTAAACCAGCTACTACAGCACCACAAAGCAGTCCAGCCCTAGCAATTTAAACTCATGACAGTTGTGGTGAGGAGGGCTCTCCCTCTTCTGCAGATTCCTGAAGGATAAGAAAACTATCACCACCTGCTGTTACAAGTGCTTAGTTCACTACTCCGTTTTCAAAATACACAGGCCAACAGCTGTCTGACTGAGAAGACAAAAAACCTCACCCTTTTTTTTTGTCCTTAAAGGAGAACAGATTTATGTTGACATGACCCAATACACCACTGGAAAGCAGTTAGATATGTGAGTGATGAATGGTGTCCTGCAAACTCTTAAGACACTTTTGTTTCAAGCCATCTAAGATAATCAAGTAAGTACTTGCAGAATCTGTGGCCAGAGGGCTTAAATAGAATTGAATTTGTCAAATACATTTCTGTATACAGGTTATCAGAGTTGTCTGTCTTTCACACCAACCAGAACCAGGCTTTTTTTGAGAACTAGTTAAAGCTTTCAAAAGAAAAGCAGTTAGTGCTACTAGCTTTTCTGAACAGCAAAGAGCTCCACTAAAATCTTCTGAATTCCAGATGACTTTAGAAAACAAGGCACTAGATACATATATTCTGTCTTGGCAAGCAGTTTCAACTTAACATCAGACTAGAAAGTACAAATTGGTCAAATTTTAATAAAAAACAATACTTACAATAACAGAATGATAGTAAAAAAAGAAGTGCACAATGAACACTAGTTTATGAACAGCTAGAACAGCACACACTGTAAACAGTTTAAAAGCTATTTGAAAGGCAGGCTACAATTCAGTAACAGGTGAAAGGTAGTTTACTCTTCATAGAATCAGTCCTCAGAGTCAGGGAAGGACAGCAGTAGCTTACAGATGCAAGCAGTCCCTTGTTTGCAGGAAAGATATTAGAAGTTAACAAAGCACTCTGAGCTGCCCTCTCAGAAAGCGTTCTTGTCCCCACGAATAGTGATATCCACCCTTCTTCAGAGATGACAACTGCCAGAGTTTTCAAGGTAAGATGCCCAAAGACCATGATCTCATCCTTTGAGGTTAACATGGATGCAAAGAACTTCTCAAAATCATGGCTGCTTTTGCAAGGCATTCTCTCTTTAAATAATCCTATTTTTAGAGTCCATAGTCTCCAAACTACTGTATTGTTGTCAAAATATATTAAAAATTGTAACTGATTGAAATAAATAAGATGTCAGAGCATATTTTTCCATGTTAAAATCTTTTAAAATCATACTTACTTACTCAAAAAAGCACATTGGGAAGAATTCCAAGTGCAAAGGGCTCCTTCCACTTCAGTATGCTTAAAACTCAAGCTGTTTGGAGATTTTAACAGCCAGAGCAACAGAATCATCAATGTAGTTCACTGAAATCATTCTGGCTCATGTCTTTTTCAGTTGAAAATCCCAGGATCGACATAAGGATATGCAAGAAACTCCCCTAGTTTATTGCCTTCTGCATCATAATGGAGCATCCGAAAACAAACATCACAGAAGAAACAAGGATCCTCTGGTGCCAGACTGTCTTTGTTGGTTACCCACCTGCAAGTTACAAAACACAAGTGTTTTCCATGCGAGTCCAACACATTTGTGACAAACACCTCAACATTTTACTTGGAGCTGGGGATGGCAACAACAAACATCATCAATAACTTTATACTGACCACATACTACCTACACTGTGTATCTCCCACCCCAGGCATACAGCTCTTTTGCAAACTCCACACACATTCAGCGTCAGTCCCAGCTGCTACCTTACACTGCTACAGCAGCACTTACCGAGAGACTCCTCAAACCTGTGTAGCTGGTACAGTGCATAACAAACAAAACAAAACAAAACAAAACAAAACAAAACAAAAAAATCAACCAGAATCTTCTGCCCACCCTATGGCCATTTAAGTCATAAAATATAAATTTGTCTTCCCTTAAAGTAAGAAACTGTGATATAGAGCAGGCACCTGAGTGACCTGAGTAATGACCAAATCCATTTACGAGTCTAAAAGAAGGGCCTAGATGATGCAGACAAGACAAGAAGAAGATTGCTGCACACTCCAGCAAGCACTGAAGTTAACAAGAACACAGCTGCCCATACAAGGAGGGTCTGCCATGTCATCAAGCAGTTAATTCATGGTAGCACTCAGAGGCCATGACAGCTCAAGGCCTGTAGTGATTAAAGATGCTATCTGCACAGATTAGAACATGTAGGACAGCCAGCCAAAGCAGCTCTATGATCCATGGTTTAGCATCTCCCCACTTAAGCTTAGTGGTTAATCCTGGTTTTAATTTAATGCATTTACATCACCTATGGTAATGCCCTCCCCATCACATCTTTCCCCCATACTGACCCTTTGGCTCCACCTCCCCTTATGGCCAAAGGCTCACAGATTATAGCCACTTGTGAAAGCATCCTAGGGGCTCTGCTTGGAACACTAGGATGGGCTCCCATCATAAGGGGAATTGTCTCTTTGCCTGACTCCAGGAAAGTCTAAGGCCAAAGCAAGATAACAAGGACACAGCTACTGTGTCAAAACTGAGGCTGAGAGTGTAAGCTGCCCTGAGGGAAAAAAAGGGCAATGGGTGTTTTTGTAAACCAATGGTTCAGACCTATAAAATCAGGGAGCCTAGTTTGTAGAACTCCTTTAGAGAAATTTCTACTGTGTCTCTTGAAAGGCTTTCTCATGTCTAAGTAAACAGCACTAAGGAGTATAAAGAGCACCTGAGTTCACATTCTCCTCTCTTAACTGCAGAAAATCTGCATCACAAAAAGTTCCTTCAAACACAGCTGCACAGCACAGAGTTCTCAGGTAGAGGTTAGGAGTTTACCTGTGAGGAAAGTTATATGCCTTATAAAAATCTCTAGATTTTACTATATTAAGGTTGGACAGAACCATGCTTCCCTCTGCTTACACGACAGATTTAATGAAAGCTCCATATGATTTCTGTCAGATGAATTTGAATCACATGTCTTATCATAGGGGAGAAGTGCAGCATTTTCCCCAACAGTAAGATTTTCAAAAGTAACTGACTGAGAGCTGAGCTCTATGTATACAAAAGAACCTAAGCCAAGTAACTACCTTCTTTATAATTTCAATTCTTTTGATCATTCTGAATCATCATCTTTCAAATGAACACTACCTGCAGGAGGCCTTTTCCTGGGCAGAGAGAGGACAATTGTCTGAAGAGTAAAATCTCAGAATACTTCCACGAAGGTTATTCACACACCTTATCAAATACAGTGCTTTGATTTTATTTTTTTAAGTCAGAAGCAGCACCTAGAAAGACAACTTAAAAGGACTGAAAATGTAGCGTACCTGGCTGTATACATTTTGCACACGAAGCATTTTCTGGTACATAACCAGTGTTTCTTGATTAGCAAGGGATAGAGGTTCTTGTCAAGGCAGTCATCATGATGAACGAGCCTTGAGGGAAATAAACAAATACATAAAACACAGTAAAGACTCAGCCACATTGGAATTTATCTGTACATAAGCATGGACATTGAAAATAAGGCATGATTTAAATTCCTGTGTAAACTATGACCAGACTTCTCCTTAGCATTTCTTAACACAGATGAAGACCTGGAGACAGACTGCTAGTTGAACCATCCACAGATTTTATGGTAAGGAGTAAATTCAGTTTGTGTAGTAACTCAGAAGTCTTCAGACCACCTACTTTACTGTCTTTTCAAAGCTTTTATCTCCTACGTAGACTAACAGGCAAAAACACCACCAGGTGAATATTTAGAGGCACATAATCCTGAGATCATCTGCTTGCAACATCTATGCCCTTCTTTGGGTTGTATTCCTCTTACAAGGCACCATTTATTAGCAATGCTTAGGTACATTAGGCTTCTGGGAACTAAAAATGATCTGTCATCCAAAACAGACAATCAGAGAAGAGCCTTCTCCACTTGTTATGCCCTGTGCAGAGTATACACAATAGTTCAACTGTTGATGTGGTTGTCACTTCACAGCCACTATCACCTCCTCTTTCTCTGCCTTGCTATCCACTTCAGCCCCCTATTTCCACTCCTCTGTTCTCTTTTCAGCTCCTGCCCCTTGGCGCCAAGTCTAAACTAACAAGTGAGTTGACTCCAGCCAGAGCCGTTAACAGTATTCTAATCCCTGGTGCTCCAGAATCAGTATGTAAATCTGCCACACATTGGTTCTGCATAGAAAGAGCTTTTCACTGTGCATCCTATTCCTCCCACATGACAATCATGCCATGCTACTTAGAAAGCAGTCTTTTTATACAGACCCATTATTTTTAAAAAATGCAAGGGAGATGACTTTCTTTCTTGCAGAGGTAGTCACAGGTATATGGAGTAAAATCTTAAATAAGCCCTGAAGAAAGCAGCAGAATAAAAAGTTAGTCTAACAAGTATTCATCATTTAATGACTGAAGTTTGTCCACAAAAGGCTTGCTTTCAACTGCCTAAGGACTCCCAAAGAGCAGTAACTTACCGTATATCTGTGATCATAATGATGTGCTCACAGTTCCCTTGGTGGCAGAAAAGGTATGGAAAGCCAATTTTGAGAGATAAATCATTAAAGGTGTAGTCCTCCATTTTAACGGACTGAAGATTTCCATAGCCTCTGTCATGAGATTCTGACCACTCAATAATTGTTCTGAAAAGAGAAAGGTCATCAGCATACCAATGCTATAAACTGTGAAGGCACAGAAAAGGAAGGCCTTGGGGTACATGCAAAACTTTTCACTGGGTCATTGTTAAAAAGATGGAAATCAAAACAGCTCACAACATTTTATAATAATTTAAGATAATTTCACAGCAATACCACAACCTTACAAAACTGTGCACTGTCCTTGTGGAACACCTGCCTTTAAATCCCCACCAGGCAGTTCCCCAAGGAGTTCTAGTCCAAGTGTACACTCCTGATGGCACCCATTTGGGTTAGGTTGTTTGCAGCACAACACTTCTCAAGAATTCCAATAATTCAAGCTACCAGCAGGTCATTTTTGCTCCCTTGGTCAGTAACTTTATTCTAAAGCCTTTTTGGTTTTTGCCAAGGAGAAACACAAATCTGACAACTGCACAGTTACATTTCCAAAATTTAGCACTGGAAGGGCACTGGCCACTACTGCACTTATTTCTTGGCTTTTCAGCACACTCCCACATACAAGGCATTTTACTTCTACAAACTGTGTATTATCACAAGCCCTTCCATAAAGATCATTGTTGCCCATGGACAGAAAGAGAAGGAGCAAAGTAATTAATTTCTCTTAAGCCACATACCAAGTCTGACACAACAAGAACAGAGTCCAAACTCACAGCCCTTCCATACCATTCATTTTAAAATCTCGATTTCCTAAATCTCACTAGTGTGTCAGCAAGCCCATACTTTTCAAGGAATATGTAGATGTGGTGCTTAGGGACATGGTTTAGTGGCCTAGGTGGTGCTGAGTTGACAGTTGGACTTGATGATCCTTGAGGTCTCTTCCAACCTTAATGACTCTATGATTCTATACTTTAAATGGATATGACTTGTGCTTAATCAGTGTGTGCTACAGTTCCAAACAAGAGATACCTGAGACTCTTGGCAACGTCATCTCAGATTTCTTTTCCCAACAGTCACACAGTCCCCTTGTTGACTTTACCATGAAGGCATTGAGCATATTTTCAAGACTGAGCAGAACAACTGACTTCCACACAGCTAAGCTTGTCTTTCTGACCCATCTTCTACCTCACAGGCAAGTCTTTGGGTGGTCATTGCAACTAAGGAGGGCACTTAAAAAACACCAGTACAGACTGGCATCTGGCACCTTCCACAGCAATCCCAACCCAACACAGCAAAACAGGATTTGCAGGGAAAGAAATGCATTCATCCTCTTTTCAGAAGGGAAGTGAGTGGAAGGAATAAGTAGAGCAAGTACAGTTAAACTTCTATGTAAAAATCAATTCAGCATGAAAAGATAGTAAGAGAAGTCCATTCTATCTACATACACTAGACACTCCAGTCTTAAAACCACTATGAATTATAACATAAATGAAATAAATTTTCCTTCCCTTAGTTTTCTTTAGTCAGCATCTACAAATACTGTACCTGCTCAGATCTCTGCACTCTGGGTATCTTTTATCATTATAAAAGATGCCTTCAAAATAAAAGAAAGCAGATTTGTAGAGATCCTAAGAGAGGGGGGGAGGGGAGAGATAAGTCTGTATTAGCATTATGAAAGATTAAACACCTTAAACAAGAACATGTCAAAAAACAAGCACTTTAGGTATCCACATTTTATTAAGAGACCGCATTCTACAGGTTTCTCAGAAAAGCTTTGCACTGGTTTTAGATGCTGATGTGACAAGGCTTATGTGACTGGCAGCTATGCAGTTGCTCTGCTGATATTATCCTCAAGCCATTACAGGTTATTTTAGTGCTCTGCCCCTATTACTATATCCATCAGTTATAGATTTCTCCAAAAACACAAAACAAGAACAAAGTAGTACCATTGCACAAATTAAGTGACTGCACAGCACTGACTTTAAAAAAGGCTAATAATGTTTAAAGAAATTATCAAGAAGTAGTGGGCTGACCTTGGCTGGCTGCTAGATCCCCCCCACCCATTTGCTCTCTCACTCCACCTTCTCAACAAGACAGGGGAAAGAAAATAAGACAGGAAAGTGCCTAGGTTGAGATAAAGGCAGTTTAATTAGAAAAGCAAAGTCTGCACACAGAAGCAAAGTAAAAACAGAAGATGTATTCTCTACTTCCCATCAGCAGGTCATGTCCAACCACTTCCTGGAAAGCAGGGCCTCAGCACACATACTGGTTGCTTTGGAAGACAAATGCCTTGACCATGAATGTTCCCCCCACCTCCTTTCCTCCAGCTTGTTGTTGTTGCTGAGCACAACATCACATAGCATGGGATATCCCTTTGACCAGTTTGGGTCAGCTGTCCCAGCTGTGTCCCCTCTCAGCCTCTGGCCCACCTCCAGCCCACTGGCCTTGGGGGAACCTGGGCTCAGCAATAGTTTCAACACTGGTGTGTTATCAACCAAAAATGCAAAGCACCGCACTACATGAGCTGCTGGGAGGAAAGTTAACTCCATCTCAGCCAGACCCAGTACACCTGATCAGGACAGATCACACCACAAAATACTTTTTGCTGCAATGCCGGAGAATTATTGCAGTCCTGTCCCCTGTGCATGCGCACACACACACACACACAAAACCACATGGGAGCAGTCCCTGGTCATGTCTATATAAACAACACAGATGTGCAATTTTGGAAGGTCTAATCACCTCGCTTCTAACGGCTCAGAAGACAACCTAGCATCCTTCGAAATTCCCCCTTAATTAGAGTTTGTCATATGCAGACAGGCCATTTGTACCAGCCTTTTTTATCAAGATAATTGACAATTTATGTCACTCACACCAGCAATGCAAGAGTCATCAGATTCCAAATTATCTCAAGAAACTGAGCTAATCCATAAGCCTCCATTACATGTCCTAAATTGTGCAGCAGAACTACAGAACTGTTTAGGTAAAATCATATCCATCCATAAAAAAAGCAGAAGCAGATTCCAGCTGCAAGCATCTCCCTGAGAAGGACCAAAATAAATAAGAACAGGAAATCATCATGTTAAAATAGCACAATCAAGTATTATTGTGTTTATCTATCCCGACTGCTTGCACAACATTCACAGAACTGTTCCCTCCTAAAGCTAAAAATTAGAGGCATATTGTATTTTAATAAACTGGGGAATAAGAGACTGGAGAGCAGCCCCATGTAAAAATATCTGGGGGTCTGGGTTGATAGCACTTTGAACATGAGTCAACAGTGCGCCCTGGCAGCCAAAAGGGGCAACCATGTCCTGGGGTGCACCATGCACAGCATCACCAGCTGGTCGAGGGAGGTGACTGTCCCACTCATCACTGCCCCGGTGCAGCCCCACCTCCAGTTCTGTGTGCAGTTGTGGGTGCCTCAATATACGACAGACATCTAACTATTCCCGTGTGTCCAGAGGAGGGCGACCAGGATGGTGAAAGGCCTCAAGGGCAAGACTTAGAAGTTCTGAGCGGCTGAGAGCACGTGGCTTGCTCAGCTTTGAGAAGAGAAGGCTAAGGGGGGCCCTCATGGCAGTCTGCAGCTTCCTCAAGGGGGGGCAGCAGAGTGGAAGGTGCTGATCTCCTCTCTCTGCGGACCAGCAACAGGACATGAGGGAAGGAAGCTGCATCAGGGGAAGTTCAGACTGGACATTAGGAAAATGTTCTTCAATGAGAGGGTGGTCAGTAACTGCAACAGGCTCCCAAAGGCGGTGGTCATGACACCAGGCCTGTCAGAGTTCAAGGAGCATCTGGATGACACTTTTAGTCATGTGGTTTAGTTTTGGGCAGTCCTGCACAGGAAGTTGGACTTCATGATCTTTACGGGTCCCTTCCAACTCAAAATAGTCTATGATTCTATACAAAATATTCTGTATGGTTTTGCAATTTAAGAACAGCTACACAATAGGAGAAAGAAATGGAACAAATTTACAGTATATATATACATATGCAGTCTAAATTAAGAGGGGGAAAAACACACAAACTTTTTATTTAGATACAAATGTCATATAACATGTAAGAAAGGAGTAATTGTTTAATTAAGTCATACATCTTTCTGTAATTTCCATCATCTGTTGCTGCTGTCAAAACAGCCTTTATACAAACAAGTAATGTGAGCAGTGAGAAGACAACCACGAAAAGTTGTGGGTTTTTTATCCATACAACATTTTTATCTTTAAATTGTGCTCTCCTAAGTTCTTCCTGGCATATAAGAGGGTGCTGTTTTGGTTTGTGCTGTAACTCCTTAAAAACTGAGGCCAGATACCAGTGTATACTACCAAACTGATCACAAGGGCTTAATAAACAGTTACAAGAAGCAGGGAACAGCCTTCTGCAGTGGACCTGGAAGAAGGGATATGCCTCAGATTGAAAACTTACAGCAAACAGGAAACCATACTGTTCAGGAACTTCACTACATTTTGCTGAAGAAAAATAATAGCAAAAAAAAAAAAAAAATCAGCTTTCTTGCAAGAGCAATACAGCTAACATGCAAGTTTATCCCGGGCTGGGGTGAACGGATCAGCTACCTTGCACAGCATTCATTACTGGAAATGAGAGGTTGAAGGACATTGACTAAACCCTCTCAGACCACTACAGAGTGGAACACTTGTGTAGTGACTGCCGCTTAGGCAGCCATTCTGCATATGCTATACATGCAACTGCACACAGGTACGATACATACAAGTGATGCTAAGATACACTGTAATACACACAGTTGACCTGTAAGTTACAGCATACAATTTTTTCCATATTTTCAACTTCACTTTGAAGAAAAGCAGTGTTTCACGACCCTTCATCAAAAAAAACCTTTACCTGCAATTATACACTGGCATTCAGGTATTGCACAAAGCCTATTTAAATACTGTTTTTTCTTCAAGTATATAGAAAACTACAAGAAATCCTTCATTCATGGGCCTTAAGAGCATTTTGATAAGTATCTCTCCAATATGTATCAACACATAGTTTTATCACAGTGAAGTAGTCCCAACCTTTACATCTCTAATTACACTGTGTGCCAGCTCTCAGATAAGGTTATATTTATTCATCAACAGATGCATGTGCAGGCAGGTCGTACAGATAATGATTGGGGAAGGTAACTTCAAGGAGCTTGGTTCCTTCCCATTATCAACATGGTGACCCACTCATTCCAGTTCTATAACTTGGGAATTTCTCACTGCTCATTAAGTCACACAATCTTGATGAACTCTTTACATATCTGTCAGGAGGCAGCCTATGACCTGCAAGAGATTACAGTGGAAAAGAAAAGGCAGAGAAAGAGTGGAAGGCAAGAAGTGAACAAGAGTTATTTCACAGGCTGGATACAGAGGCACAGGTAAATAAGAACCAAATGGGAAAACTGTGGACAGCTAGGCACTCTGTATCCCCTGACCAGTCTTATGTGTCTTTATTAACAGAGAATGAATGCTCACTTGTGCCCAGAGGTCTCTTTGAGCTATTAACTCTAAGGCGCCAAAAGCCAGGAAATGCAGACACTGAGGACAGAGAAGGGACTCATGACTGGAGACAACCTGCACAAAGGCACAACAGTAGAAATGTGTTTTACGTTCAGATAATTGTTTCAGCTCTCTCGTTGTCACCCTCCCTGGCTCTCCAACCACAAAGTGTAAGTACTGCCATACTCTGGCAACTTCTTACCAACTTTTGTGGGTCACAGCTGTTCTGAATTAGCCTGTCCTTTAAAGCTGCTCCAGACTTCAGAATGTTTGTTACAGTGAACAGAAGGCCAAGGGAGCCACTGCTATTAACTTCCTGGGAATCTGAGGTCTTTCCTGATTAATGCTGGCAAGAGGTATGACTCAGACATTCCTTTCTCACAGACTGCATTATCCTTTAGTTTGCAAGGAGAGATTCACTATTATGTTTCTCCAGGGAATCCCAACAGTAGTAGTAACCACACAGAAGATCCAGGATTGTTGTTACAAGTATCCATATCTGTGGAATAAAATACCTCAATATTGCCCAGTTCTCTTACAACACCCCCCTGATGTTGGTTTGACTAAGGTGTTTGTTTACAGAAAAAACAAACCAAAAAAGGCAGAGAATAGAACAGAATAGAACAGAATATTTCAGTTAGAGGGGACCTACAACAATCATCTAGTCCAACTGCCTAACCAATTCAGGGCTGACCAAAATTTAAAGCGTGTTACTAAGGACATTGTCAAAATGCCTCTTGAACACTGGCAGGCTTGAGACATTGACTGCCTTTCTAGGAAGCCTGTTCCAGTGTTTGACCACCCTCTGTTTAATGTCCAGTCCAAACCTCCCCTGATGCAGCTTTGAACCATTCCCACATGTTCTGTCACTGGATCCCAGGGAGCAGAGATCAGCACCTCCCTCTCCACTTCCTCTCCTCAGGAAGATGCAGAGAGCAATGAGGTCACCCTTCAGCCTCCTTTTCTCCAAACTAGACAAGACCAAAGTCCTTAATGTTCCTCCTGGGACATTTCTTCCAGCCCTTTCACTAGCTTTGTTGTCCTCCTCTGGATGCATTCAAGGATCTTCACATCCTTCTTAAATTGTGGGCCCAGAACTGCACACAGTACTCGAGGTGACACAGCACCAATGCTGAATACAGCAGGACAATCACCTCATTTGATCGGCTCGTTATACTGTGTTTGATGCACCCCAGGATGCGGTTTGCCCTCTTGGCTGCCAGGGCACACTACTGGCTCATATAGAGCTTAATGTCAGCCAGCACCCCTAAATCTCTTTCTGCAGGGCTGCTCTCCAGCCACTGCTCTCCCAATTTATACTTGTGCCTGGCATTACTCCATACAAGGTGCAGAACATGGCATTTGAACTTGTTAAATTTCATCCCATTAATCACTGCCCATTGAAGAAAAAGCAAAGAATAAAATCACAAAACCCAAAAGTAATGAATGAGAAGTCAGGTCTATTTATGCCAATAAAATCCAAAGTCTCTCTTACTCTCTCTGTATCTGCTGACAAGCTACACTTGTTTATTCAACCAATGAGAGCAGCAACTTGATCCTGTGTACTCAAACAACTCAGCCTGTGTACTCAAACTGCACTTCAAGAGAAGTGAAAGCTGGCAGCAACAGCTAACTTACTTACACAACCTCTTTCCTGCAGACTCTCAGAGGACCATTCGGCTTTAAATCAGAATCTAAAATCCTTAAATTAGTAAGAAGTTATTTTCTCTATTTGGAAAACCTAACATACTTCTGGCAGGTGCCACTTCCTTCCTAGACTGAAAGAAAGAAAATTCTACTGCACCGACGGCCGATTACCTGCCTGTTAAAGCAACATGCAAATTTAATTGTGAAGCCTCGCCACACAGTGACCCTATACTTCAATGCAAGCTGTAAATTCACAATAATGCTTGAGGAAAACAAATAAATGGAATGAATGCACACCACTCATGAACAGCTCCTGCTGGGAGGCTAGGCATGGTGACACGCACTTTGGGGAAATTATTGACATGAGAAAGTCTAATCTCAACCTGTTGAGGCCATGACAGCCTCACATGACTCCTCTGCAACCCCGGGAGGAGGGTCCCAGAACTAATCAGCTAGTGCTTTACTAGATAGTGGAAGGAAGACTTCCATTTACTTTACATAAATGAAAAGATTAGTATTTGAGATATCTTTCAGTCTCCTTAAACAAGAATGTGTCAACTTTTCACTATTATGTATAAAATGTATAGCATCCTGTAGTTAATTCTCAGGTTGTATAACATATGTTATTTGACTTACATTATATTGATAATATATTATTAATATATAATACTGGTAGAACAGCAGGGACCCAAGGGTGATATCAGTGGAACAAATGCTAGTGGGAGGCCAATAACTAGCAGAGTACCCTAGAGGTCAATACAGGGTCCAGCCCTAGTCAACATCTTCATTAATGATCTGGATGGTGAGGCAGAGTGTACCCTCAGCAAGTCTGCAGATGACAGAACTGGGAGGAGTGGTTTATACATTGCATTACCAACCTGCCGTCCAGAGCTACAGAAATGGGCTGACAGGAACCTCATGAACTTCAACAAGAAGCACAAGGTCCTGCACCTGGGGAGGAACAACCCCATGCATCACTACATGTTAGGGGCCCCTCAGCTGGAAAGCAGCTGCGCAGAAAAGGACCTGGGGATTCTGGTGGACATCATGCCGATCATGAGCCAGCAACGTGCCCTTGCAGCAAAGAAGGCAAATGGGATCTTGCACTGCGTTAGACAAAGTATTGCCAGGAGGTTGGGGGAAGTGATCCTTCCCTCTGCTCAGCACTGATGAGGCCACACCTGCAGTGCTGTGGCCCGGTCTGAGCGTCCAGTTCTGAGCTCCTCAGTACAAGAGACGTGGACACATTGGAGAGAAAGTTCCACAAGGGCTGTGAAGATGAAGGGACCAGAGCACCTCTCCCATGAGGAGAGGCTGAGAGATCTGGGACTGTTCAGCCTGGAGAAAAGAAGGTTTGGGGTGTGGGGGAATCTTATTAACATATACAAATACCTCTATGGAGGGTGGAAAGAGGACAGAGCCAGGCTCTTGTCAATGGTGCCCAGCAACAGGACAAGAGGCAAAGGACACAAACCGAACCGCAGGAGCATCAGGAAACACTTTTCATTGTGAGGGTGACCAAGCACTGGCACAGGTTGCCCACAGAGGCAGTGGAATCTCCATCCTTGGAGATATCCAAAAGTCATCCGGACACGGTCCTGGACAACTGGCTGTAGATGGCCTTGCTTGAGCAGGGGGGCTGGACCAGATGACCTCCAGAAGTCCCTTTCAACCTCAACTGTTCTGAGATATCATATATATTTTATGTGATACAATATATTAACAAAATTATGCAATTTCAGTATTTTCAATTACAGTACTTTATTGAGCCCTTTTGCACATCCCCACAGAACACCTGGCAATTGTGGGAGAGGGGAATAATCTTCATTCCTACTTTTCAACAGCACCCAGTTGCAAACAACAAAGCATGTAAGTTCAGGGGGGGAAGGTCTACATTTAGCTTTTACTACCTCTGATGTTTCAGAATATGGCTCAAAGTCAGTCCACAGGGATACATCTATGCAAGAACTCACTGCCAGTGCTACTGCTTCGCAGTGAGTTCTTCACAGCATTACTGATGTTTTTCTTGGCATCACACAAAACATGTCAGCTTGGTAATGCCACCAGAAGTATTTACTTTCACTGCATTCCACAGGCAGAACCAATGCAGATGAATTTAGTGCTGGAGAAAAAACAACAAAACAAAACCCTGTCTCTCTCCTTCCTGTATGTTTTCAAAGCTCCTAAGCACGTATGGAGTTCCCCACAGATTTTACCTTGCTGATGTGTTCTGGTGCTTGATCTGGCTGACTGCTGAACTCACCACCTATCTGGAGGTCACTGACGCAGGAAATCGAGTCTCTCAGCTCTGTGAGCTTCTGGCTGCCCAGTACAAGGACTGTCTGATAGGGTTTGTGATCTTTATGCTATGAAGAAAACAGCATAGAAGCTTCAAATAAAAATCACTTGTCAGCATCAGTGCTGCGTTTCAGTTGACAGCTCAAGGTCATTAATGGCAGCATACGGCACATCACCTCTCTTTACAAGATTTTAAACAGCATCTTGCCTCAGCCTCTCCTAAGGCTGCCATTTATTAGCTTTATTCAAAAACTCAAAAAGTCAACTTCCACACCAGAAAATACAGGAAAGATAGAAGTCTGAGCACACTGACCCCAAAATCCAGAAAGAGGACTTTAGTTTTCATGTATTTAGTTTCACATTTTGAGTTTTCTGTGAAATCAATTACCTGAGTAATTATTGCGAAAATTTCCTTCTGTAAATCACTAACAGAATGAAAGCCAGATTTGAAAAAGCCTTAAGAAGTTACCACTGTTGAAAAGTGTACCATGCTCCTTTAGCAGGCTCACTGACTTTAACTGCTTGGGAAAGCAATATTTTACCCGACTAGGGAAGGCACATCAGATTACAACCTAGAGAATTTAGTACCAACCTTCTGAAATATGACAGGATAGAAGATATTCAGAGTTAAAAGTAGGTCTCCCTCCTCAACTAGATCTGTTGGATTGTGTGGCCTCTTTCCAATTGCATGTGACTCCTGGAAAAATAAAGATACATATACATATATATTATATTGGCAACCACTTGTATATCACAGCCTGTGGATAAAAGTCTGAAACGCTGTTCTAACTGTAATTCATTTTTGACTGTGTAGCCTTTTGATTTGATAACAGCCCACCTCCTCCATGGAAAGGTGAGAAACTGCTGTAACTACTGATTGCAAGCACTTTCCTTCATACCTCAGCTCTAGAGAAGCTGAGGTGCTTTCAGCAATTACGAGATAGCTGGCTACTCCTTGGCTAATTAGAGGCCCTGCATAAATGAATTAAAGTCTGCTGCCACTCTGCCCTCCTGGAATCCAGCTGCTACCAAATTCCATCACTTAATGCTTTGAAATGCTCTTTGAAGGCTTTCATATGTAAAGGGGAACTGCAACCCTCAACTTGAGAAAGACTGACCTAGAAACTAGCCACAGGATGAAGTATATGAAAATAAAAATCAGTGCAACGCTTCCTCTTATTAGAGAAGCTTGACATCGCTGGAGGTCTCAGTTTCTCCAAAATCCAAAACGAAAATCCAGCACCGCCCTTGCCACACTACTATGTTTTAGAAAAGAATGTGTACTGCTGTGAGACTTCACTTCAGAGATACTTGTGCTCTATCCATTGCATCTTCCTTCCTCATGCAACACATTCCAAACTCACGTTTCTTATTGCTTTCATCATGTTTTAGGAAACCATGGTTCACAACTAGCTCTGATACATAAACTAGTTACTACAGCTTGCTTAAAGGATGCAGCAACTGACCACGTGCTCGTTCTTCAGAAACAGAAATAAGACACCACTCATTGAACCCTTTATGAAGATTTCTATTGCAAATTATTTTCTCAGATAGGCCCTAGACTAAGAGCCTTGTTGCACCTCAGCTGATGCATGATGCTTACAATATGTGGCTGGGCCTCTGGACAGTTGAAACAAGATCAGTCGTAACAGACCAGGAAACCTCAAGGGGAAAAAATGTTTAACAGTCACAAGTGAGGCTCCTTCCTCAATCCAGCTCCATCTCTAATTTTCACAGTAGTCCACGGCTTGCTTGTTCAGGAACAAGGAGTGCACGGTGGGGCCCCTCAAAACCCATCTTGGAATTCCTTTAATTTAGTACTTCTTTTTTTAAGATTTCTTCACAACCATTTTTGAAGTCCTAGACAGGAAAACTTAAGTTCTTAAATTTTAAGTTCTTAATGTTCAAGCCATAGACTCCAGCACTAAGGAATTCCAAGATGGCTTTTGAGGGGCTGATCACTACATTCCTGGTTCCTGACAGCTCAGAATGGCTGAGAAACTTGGGTTATAAACTCAGAATTAGGAACTTACTGCCACCATGCTCCTACTGTCTTCCTCTTTCAGCCCTACAGAAACAAGCTCACAATCATTTACATGTTAAAGCTTAGATTCCAACATAGGGCTCTAGAGGCAAAAATGTCATGCATTGTGTCTAGCTCTACAGTAAGTTCACATGATGCTCAGTACACTTGATCTGCTACACAATGCTTTATTAGCAACCAAATAAGAACAGTCATACAGTGATAATGAGCTGGAGTTCCTCCTTACTAGATTCTGTACAAACAGACAGTAAAGAGCAGAGTTCCTGTCCTATCTTTCCATAAAATGTCTTCAGTCTTAAACATTACCTGCAAACTCATATTTGCAAACATTTACAGCGTAGAGGGAAACACGCTTCATCAGGGAGTGTAGTGACAGGACAAGGGGTAACGGTTATAAGCTGAAAGAGGGCAGATTTAGATGAAATATTAGGAACAAATTTTTCACTGTGAGGGTGGTGAGACACTGGAACAGGTTTCCCAGAGAAGCTGTGGATGCCCCATCCCTGGAGGTGTCCAAGGCCAGGCTGGATGAGGCTTTGAGCAATCTGGTCTAGTGGAGGGTGTCCCTGTCCACGGTAAGGGGGGCTGGAACTCGATGATCTTTAAGGTCCTTTCCAACCCTAGCGATTCTATGATTCTAGGATTCTGTGATAGTGACGGTAAAAAAAAAAAAGCCACCAGAATTTGGATTTTGGCTGTCCTGAACTGTTTTGAGATCCTACAAGATGACAGGGAACTTACCATCTCATAAGCAAGAGTTTCTTGTCTGCAAGCCCGATCCACAATAATTGTTTCTTCTCTCCTCTCTAACGTCTTCTTTCTAAGTCTGGGGGGTGGGAACACAGGACAAAATTTCATTCAATCACTTCCACACAGAATCTCTAGGTGTATTTTTAAAAGCTACTACAGTGCAGCTTTCAAAGAGTAGGATTTCTGCCAGTATGACAGACTAACTTAGAATACTCTTGTCTCCCGACTCCCATAAAACTTGGTAGTACACAGGCCAGCTTGTGGATTTCAGCTTCTGTTCTTCTTTCCCTTATGTGCAAATTAGAAGCTCTTTGTGGTCTGTTTTATACTTACAAGAAAAGACAACAAAATGTTGTCTGAAGAGGCTCTCCTCTGAGGAAGCTGTTTCATCTCTCCCTCCCACTTCAGAGAAATTCAATTCATGTTCAAGCAAAAAAACAAGGAAAAAAACACAAATGTTCTCAACCCCATGACACAGATACTTTTCTAAAAAAAAATTCAGTATCATCTTTTTTGTCACACATAGAATATCTACTAAAATACATGTATTTAACTACTGCATGAACACCAAAGCCTTTTTAACTTCCAGAACAAGTCTATTTACCCTCCAGACCTTCCTGAACGTTTTCGGTAACAATCAAACTTAACACTGATCGCAACCTTAAACACATTTATTTACATTAGTACTACACAAACTAAAATTCCAGTACAGCAAGGGTCTGAACTGGCCAAGTATGAGTTCAAAGTTCACTAATGGATAGACACTTAACATATATATTGCTCAACCTCTGAAATCCACCAGTAGTATCAATGAATTCTATAAAGAGTGAGTTTAGATAAAGAGGTATCTGGCTGCAACTTAAGTAGTTACACTTCTGCTGTTAGAATGTGACTGCAGGTTACCAGAGGTTAGAGCTACAGATTTATTTCACAAGGCTTTAGAGAAACCTCCAACAGACGATTATGAGAAGTCCCCTGCACGGTCCACACGTAAGCACTAGCTCAGAAGTACCTAGGTCCAGAAACCCCAAGTTCTTCCAATACAAAAGATGGCATATTCTGTTTATCTTAATAAAAAAACCATAAGCAACATTAAAGCAGAAGGGTCATACTAATTATCCTACCATAAGCTGCTGTTTCTGCCCTTAGAGTATTTCTGGACACTGCTTCAGAAAGTACATCATTGCCTGGAAAGGGAACAAGCAGCCAGACGCACTTTTGTGCTTGTTTTCCACCCCATATCAGAGCACTGCGAGTGTACCATAACAACATACCGAAGAGTTAGCAGACTGCTATCTTCAGGAATAACATCTGGGTCCTCTTCCTTATCAGGAGACATTAACATATCAATGCTAGGACAATAAACAAAATAACTATTATACATTTTTTCATACTTTCTTCATAAAGAAAATCAGTTGAACTATTCTTAAAAGGAACAAAGACAGCAAAATGTGAATCAACAAGATACAGCTTGTATAGCCTAAATCAGGGCAAAAGGGCAGTATGGTTGTTAAGATAAAGAACCAGAAGACAAAGAGTCCTGCAGTTTATATCTGGCTTTCACAGAGACTGGGTAAATTTTATCTTTATTTTGCATTCTGCCTAATGGAGGACAGCTGCCTGGAGAGGTTTAACAAGCCTCTAGACAAAATGCGTGTCCATTACTTTTCATAAAATAAAAATGCCATTTGACTTTTTCAAATCTCATCCACCTACTCTGATTTTCTGATGATATATGGCAAAATAGATTCAGCCAAAAGGAATCACCAACCTCAACCTGTACGGTAAAGCTAACACCCTCCCTCAGGTACAAACATGGGCAAGCCACCACACTTACACGAGCTATCCTTGCTGTATTCAGGCATTAATTTATGCCACATTTCTTCCAGTGGGAATAAGACAACACTTCTGCCAGAAGTGACAGGTCCACTCTTCATTGTATCCTTCTTTCCATCCTCAGATCCTTTTCAGCCTAATTCTTCTATGTTTGCACAGAATGTAAAGTATAGCTAACCACAGTTTTTTGCTGTAGTGCAAAGCACTGCAGGATGTGGGAAAGAAAAGTGGAATTGCTTTTGCCTGCAGCAATTATTTAAACTGATCTTATAAATGCTAGGTTTTCACAACATAAATGAGGACGGAATTTCTCATAAACATGACACAAAAAAATGAATCGTGTGGGATACTCTTATCTGCTCCCTGCCACAGTTTTATAACATTAGATTTCCTGACACCATTCCACAAACAGACCAAATGATCCACCCAAACACTTCAGGTTAGACACTATAATAGTATCAATTACTTTTTTAGAAACATGCAAAATGCTGAGTCTGAGACAGTAATAATTTTGTATTAATCACAAAATAATTTTATCCAACTTAAAAATAATCTAAGAAAGTATTATTTAAAACAGGGAAGCACACCTGCTTTGAATCAAGACTTGATCTCTTTGGTCTCTCTAATGTTTGTGGACTATACAAAAGCAGGGCTTCTACCTCTGCCTAAGTCCACGTGCAGTTTGAATCCCAGAAAACTCTAGTGTGTACCCACCTCTTTATGGGACAAATAAACCACTGGTGAAGTCCAGGAAGAGTTTTTTGAGTGTACCACTTATTCTTGATATAATTTATGAATCTATTATATTGTTTTTCACTGTAATCTTATTATGTTATTCATAATCTTATGATGTTCCTCATGTCAACAATACTAAACTAGGTAACACTATCACTGCAGTAACGAATAAGCCTTTAGAGTGGAACCACATAGAAATAAACAGTAATTGAGAAACAGAAGTCTGGAATCAACTGGTTATCAGCTGACAATAAGCAAAAGTCAGAAACAAAATTTTGCTTGTGGGTAGATGGCCTAGTTCTGATGGCCCAGTAAAGCTAGTCTGTATTGAAGATAATTTAAATTAATATTGTTTGATTAGTTTCTTACCATCCAGCAGCACACAGAGTTTTAACCTTCCTGTCTTACAGGCTTCATCCTAAACAGAAAACCATTCTTTTTAAGCTACTGAGAAAAGGAGATTCCTTCAAAAGCACCATTTTTAAAAGAAACTAATCCAGCAATTAGTTACAACCTCTTGGAAATAAATCAACTTTATCCTTAGATTCCCACTTGAGGACGTGGAGGCAGAGACAACTGAATGGGTTCTGTATCAAGTGCAGACTGAAGCACTGCTGAGGAACAGTATGGTAACTAACATAAAAGAGGAGAACAGCACATTGAAGAACACAGAGCAAGCATTAGCCTTTTAGATAGGGCTGTTCTCCATTCAGCATAGATTAGTATTACGAATAGCCCACCTAATGAAGTAATGTATAGCCCCTGACAGGTAAAGCAACTCAAAACTGACCCTTTAGTGGAACTGAGATCCCACCAGCATAACCAGACTATTCATCTAAGCCTTCCTGCACATGGATCAGTGACGGACTAACCTCTACCCATCCCCTCCCAGATGATATTGTTTATCCATTTTTATGTCTCAAACAATGGGGAGAGAACTCGGACAGAACATTTCTGAAGAAGAGATGCCACTATGTCTACGAACAGCTCAAGCAGAAGATGTTGTAAGAAAAGCCCTTTTGTGAACAAACACTAGAGAGCTGTAAAATTTTTGAGTGATGGGCACACCTGTTGAGGTGGGGCATGGCTGCTGGGGTTGGAGTCCTCTCCCCAGTGGAGAACAAGCTGGCTCCCTCGCAAAGCTAACCTGGATGCAGGGCTGTTGCGCCACCTAAAGGTCAACCCTGAAAGTGATCTGGATGCAGGGACCCCCCCCGCAGGGTGGTCCTAGAACCGCATAACAGGTGCGCCCAAAGTGTACTCCCTTGTCGACCCATCACCACCCCACGCAAGGAGTTTCTGCCTGAAATGAAGATTTCTGCCTGAAGAGAAGACACATGCTGGAATAAGGGATTGGTGATGCTATCTAAGTCTCTGTGTTTGTGTGTCTCTCTCTGTCTTTCTGCCGCCCTGTCTTACCTTTCAACTCTTCCCTACTCTGTCTTCTGTCTAATTTTTGCCCCCTAATAATGATTGAGCATTATTTGGTGCTTGCTTAATTGATAACTGATAAATGCGATTTGGTGCTTGACTCTGAGAAGTCGACTTGTGATGTTTTTGCAGTTGCTGAGGTAAATAAAACTGTGTTGTATTGTTCCTTGAGTCACTGTCTGACTCCACCTACCTGGTGCTCTTTTTTGGGGAACCACAAAAACCTCTCTTGACCATCCACTGTGATGGGGTGAGACAGACCCCATTCACCAAAAAGCCCCGAGTCACTTGAAGACATGCCATTTTGAAGAAATGCCTGTGTACTTTGTTCTTTAAACACCACACATGCTGTTTGCAGGATCTATTACATACCATAGCGAAGTTACACTTGCATCAAAGGTGACAGTTTCACATTTCCCTTCTATGCATGCATATGATGCCAGAACTCACCAAAAACACTTGGGCTTTTCTTCCCTCCCACAGCTCTAGGCCAGGGATCTCTGGCTGTAGTATTTACATCATGCCCACCAATTGCCTGCTGCAGGAAAAAAAATAACATTCCCCACAAAGCAGCTCCAAGCAGACACCATGTAAAATATCTGGCACATAAACTGCTTCCAGAAAGGTAGCTAGTGTAAAGAGAAACTGCCACTGAATCCCTGACAAGTTCTACAGACCCTTTTGTGCCCAGATACTGCCACTTCTTGATCCTGGAAAGTCAGAAACCCTCAATTTCTAAAGAAGTGCTACTGCAGAGCATCTTTTCCAGTATTTTCAATCAGTCTAATAATTCATTACATACGTGCACTGAAGTGCATTATCACACGCACTGAAGCCTTCACAGGCTTTGCTGTATGGCCTTTACATGGGTCATGCTGGAGCTCCTTCTGGGTATCTCCACTGCAGCCAGTGGAACCACACCACTAATATTTGGTCTATGTTCTGAGGAAACCAGGCTTTACAAACGGAAAGTACATGCTGATCCCTCCAGAAATTAAGGCTAAGTAGTCAGGACCATACACCTGACAGACCAAAGTACAGGCAATACAAAGTTTGTACTGGGCACACCTCACTCCTAACAGCCAGAAGCATGGGATTCCACCATGTCGCCACACAGAATATTCCCTGCACGCAAGATAAATACACGCAGTGCACTCAGTTATGGTAACGGAGAAAACACTAGCCATACTGTTTAATGGACACTGGTAAACTGTGGGAGAGTGACAAGGAACAATAGTTGAAGGTCTCACTTGAAAAAAGCATTATATGAAATTTATGTCCCCTAGAAAGATATTTTAAGGCGGCTAGAAATAAAAAGGCCAAAGGCAAGTCTGTGGAAATTCGGACACATTAGTGAAGCCTTTAATTACTGTGACTTTACTTTTCTCTGAATATTCTGGCAGCACAAGGAGCTTTCTCAGTTTTAGAAATTAGAAGATGCTTTAGTATTTTGCCCAATATCTTTGTAGTAAGCAGAGACAGTGTTTATATCATTCTTCATATTGCATATATTTTAAAGGCAGTACTTTCATTACCTTTGAGACACTAATACTACAAGACGATAAATAGTAATACATTAAGACGCTAATGCAGCTTAATGGAGCTTTATAACACGTCCCTAGAGGTATTTACACCTACCTCTTCTAATAAAACAAGAAGGTGAATTAGGGCTGAAGTGGAATAACGTACCTGTAAGCCTCACCTCCCTTGACCTACCTAAAACCCACACTGATCTGAGTCTTAGCCTGCCCTACATATATACAAGTCTCTTAGAAGGCAAACCACAATAACATAACTTAGCATTTCCATCATTCAAGCACTTCAATCACTCAAAAACCAATAATGAATCCCAAGGTAAGCCTCTTTGCTCACAGACCACTAAGGCATTTGCACAAAACTTAAAACTTTGCCCTTTCAACACCTTGGTTATTTAAGAGAACTACTGATGGAACCTCCTACCTAAGGACATAATTTTACACCTGTTTAAAATCTGATTAAAACCCAAGAGATCTCTATAACAATTGTCTGCATACAACTTAAGCAGTATGCAAAGCATTCTTACTCAGTCAAATTCAAGTCAGTGAAGATGGAATTTTTTTCCGGCATTCAGTTTCCAGGAATGTATTCCAGGAAGAAAATAGGAAAAAAAAAATAAAAATCAACCACAACACACTGAGATACACAGAGTTAAACAGCATTTAAACACTGTGGTATTCCTCCTCACCAGAAGACTCTAAATCATCAAGAACACTTAAATACGCACTATGTCACTATATTCTAAAAAAATAATTAACTATGGATATTGAAAAACTTTATCATGAGTCTGTGAAAGATTCTCTTAACCTA